TTTGAGGAAAACGAGCTAGAGTTCGATTAAAGTGGACTAAACAGGGCTGGTGTGAATGCACCCTTAGACACAGATGCTGACTCACTCTAGGTTAAAAACCAATGAAAAAAAAAAGTGTTTTTAAACGAGTTTTAAAAACAGAAAGTGACGGGGCCTGCCTCACCTCCAGTGGCAGCTCATTCCACAATTTAGGAGCCAGAGCTGAAAAGGCTCTGTCTCCTCTGGATTTATAAAAGGTTTTCAGGACTGCTGAAAGCATCTGGTCAGAGGTTCTAAGAGCACGTGATGGTATGTAAAAGTGAAGCAGTTCAGACAAATAAAAGGGACTAAGACCGTTCAAAGACTTAAAAACAAACAATAGAACTTTAAAATGGATTTGAAACTGGACAGGAAGCCAGTGGAGGGACATCAGAACTGGAGTGATGTGCTCACGCCTGCCTGTACCAGTCAAAAATCGTGCAGCAGCATTTTGTACCAAGGTCATGGTTGCCCTCTCCATGATCCTCCATCTGCCTGCATGGACCTAACTCTACGGACAGTTCGGTTCCGCAGGGAAACCTTAGATGTTCTGTGTGTGCCGGACCCAGTTCTCGAGGGCAGTATGGGAGGGCAGTTGTAGCAGTTGTTATTATCATCATGCTGCTAACGGGACCTGCCAACAACGATTTGCCAACACTGCTTACCAGACCACGCCGCTAACAAAACCATGCTGCTAACGGGACCAAGTTGCTAAGAAACCCTCACTGCTAACAGAACCACTCTGCTAATAGGACCGTGCTGCTGTAGATGTATTTCACTTTTTCACTTTTGGCGCCTTGTTTTTGTATTTTTGTTGCATGGTTGGTAGTTCTTCTTCTTGTCTTTTTTTGTTTTGTTTTGTTGTGTTTTTGGCAAATCGAGACGGTTCTCGTCCTCAGCATTTCATGGCATTGTTGGCCTTGTGTTGATCTGCATATGACCAAAAAAACCTAACCTATGTGTCTATGTGTGTGAGTCTGTTAGTAAAATATCTCAAACCGCTAGATAGAGTTTAGTAAAATTATTAGAAAATAGACGACGTAAAATGGCTATGACTTGGTCAGCTTTACAGACTTTAAGCTAATTTGAGTGTGCTAACAGCTGAGAGTTATCCTCAAGATCTCCGACATCGCATAAGAATGAGCTTGACACAATTCCTGAGCTTTGATTGTGTTGTTACAGCTGTCATTTCCCAGAACGAGACAATTTCAAATTAAAACTGGCATGAACTGTAACGAGCGGTATTATACCTTCAGAGAATGCTCAACCTTTACTTAATTGGTTTTCTTTTAATTGTTTCAAAGAAACTCTGTCTCGATTACATGAACAACAACAGGAATTTCAAGTTACCGGTAAGTTCTGAAGGAGGAAGTTCATGTGCTGTGTATACACCTGAAGATATCGATGCTACTGTTAAACATGTGACCATGCAAGAAACCACTGCCTGAGTTTTTCAAAAACAACCAGGACAAAACAAAATTAATTACATTAACTACTTGTGTATGTACTCTAATTAAATAGTATATTTTGTGAAACAGTTGAGGAATAATGTTTTATTACTAAAAAAAAAACGATACAAAATAACATTTTTGTGCCTTTCAGCACATTCATTATTTCATTAAATGAGCAGTTTAGAGTATCAAAAATCTCTCCATCATGGTCTCCTCCCACCTAACATTTAAATCCTGCTGTAGTTTTTAAATCACAGATTAGGAAAACTCAAAGCCATATATCACATTATCACTCAACTCCAAAAACAGAAGCAAATAAAGCTGATATTGCCAATTTTCTACGTCATATTTCTTATTGTTAGCTTTTAAAAACTTCACTGAACAACATTATATACAGGATTAAAATAATATGTGACAGAGAAATCACAGCATAAAGGTGAATGGTTGCCAGTCCAGCTAAACTTTAATTTACTGCACATTTCCATCTGAGTTGTAGTTTGAAAGGACCAGTTAAATACACGATAAGACAACGCACAAAAGTTAAATAATTATCCACTATTCGGCCTAAACCACTATTTTGGCAGCATGGTGGTTTAGTGGTTAGCACTGTTATCACACAGTAAGAAGGTCCTGGGTTCAATCCCTGGTTTGGACCTGGGGTCTCTCTATGCATGTTCTCCTCGTGTTTAAGATTAATAAATAATAAATTAAAGTAACTACGGTGACTAGTTAAGGAAAATGTTGTGTTACTTTAACAGTCTGCTGAGTGTTTGTGCATGGGTTTCTGTAAGTGCAGTTCAGAATTATTTAAAAAAAAAAATAGCTCTACACAAAAATAAGAAGAGTAGAGTCAAACCCCCCCCCCCCTTAAATTCAGCTGCAAAAGCAGCTTTAAAAACAGATTATTCAGGAACGCTTTGGTGATGCAACCAGGTTGTATTTTGACTAAAAACTGTTAGACCACCAGGAGCTTGG